TTCTTCATCTTCAAATGTGATATTACTTTTGTAGGGGGTGCAAACATTAATCAAACATTTCTTAGGGGTGTGGGGCATAGAAAAGGTTGGGAACCACTGGTATAAAGGATTGAGTCAGTTGGCCTAATCCCTAGTATCATACTTCTTGGAAGGAAATGTGAAAAGATTATAGGATGTTCTTTCTAGGATCAATCTTTGACGCTACATTGCCCAGAGGCAAATGGTACAAAAGAATGAGACATGCCTTACTTATACTTTCTCTCTAGGCAACATTATGGGCCCAATTTTCCATGCTGCCATGCCCAGAAAAGGTGAAGTAATCTTAGCTCCCACCTTTTCTTGCTTTTGACTTTTTGAAAAGCTCAGAAGGGATCTGCAAGCAGCAAGATGAGAGATCTCTTCTTTCTGTTCTTTTGGAGTTTTCTAACCTCTCCTGAAGGGAAAGGACAGCTGTTCAGAAGGGCCTTTCAAGGCTAAGATCATTTGGGATGCCTTATTGTTGTTGTAGTTATTTTAAATTTTAGTAATAATTGTATTAATACTAATGAATTAATTATAAGGTGGAAAATAACTGTTTTGGTTTTTAGGTGTAAATTACCATGAGTCCTATGGCAGGTTGGAAGTGGTTGTTTCCTCAAACTACAGGGTCACTTAGCGGCTGCATTACAATATAAATATATCAAAGCTCTGCTAACATTTCCCTTCAGCAATTTTCATCTCCAAAAAACTATAGAAAGTTTGCAATATTCACAAAGTCAGAAAAAAAAATCCATACTTTTAGCTTCTTTATTAAAAAAAAAAAAGTTGCTGCACATCAGAGTAAGTGCAAATTAATCTTTTTTCAAGTACCAATAATTCTGTGGCACATTAGTCATCTTTTCAAGGGGTGTTACATAGTCAAGGAAAATAGTCTCTTACATCCATAAGGGCAGCATTGATGTAATTGCTACTCTCGCCATCAATAGTAATTAGGAAAGGCAGACATCTGTCAGGTGGTAGCATATCCATAAAGCGGTTTTTGTCATGATTCCTTGGCAAGCATGCGATGCTGCAGTCTTCAGCTTGTAGCCGAGGAGTCACAGAATTCAGGGTCTACAAGGCAAAAGAAACCTTTATTATGACATTGTGTGTCTAACTCAAAGAGATTTGGGCATAAGGGATATTGGCAAGGTGACAACACTGAAAGCCACAAAGAAAGCAAAAGCACATTTAGTTCTGTTTAGTCACAATGGGTGGCATGGGGGGAGAATTTGCATATACGGAATTTGAAATCATCATGTAAAATTCATGGCCTGTATTTTACACCTATCTAAAATGCAAAAATTGCTCCTGGTAGGCCAAAGGTCATCTGTGTATAAATGAACTGGCAGCCTACAGTGATTACAATCACACAGTGATATTTCCCATATCCAGACATGAAGGAACACCATGAAAGAAGGAGACAATCCATCATGAAACTGACGCAAGAGCTACAAGAAAGTCTATATTATAGGAAGCAAAGAAGTTGTTGGTTTTTAAAATAACATCAGCCAATGAAACTACCTGGAATTCATCTTTAAGATGCGAAGAGTTTGTCTGAGAGTCTATTCTAATCATGTCAAAATATGCCGCTTTAAATTCACAGACTGGGATGGCAGTTTCTCCGCATAAACAGGCTTCCAGGATTGCATCATGAATAAAGATATACTGCTCCTGCCAGAGAAAGAACAGAAGAAGTTTGGAATCCTAGAGTTGGAACAGATCATTTAGGTCACTGGATCTAACCTTTTGCTCAGTGTAGGAATACAAATTAAAGAATCTTCAACACTTGGCTGTGTAGCTCCACCTGAAAGCATCTAATGAAAGAGAGTCCACCACCTCTCTGGATAACTGTTCCTCTGTTGAACTGCTTTTATTCATTAGGAAGTTTTTTGTAACATTTAACAGGATGTCTTAATTATTGAGTCCATTAATACCTTTTAAAGGAGTAAAATCTCTTCTTTAGATACTTTCTCATGAACACACTTCTTCAAGAAAGCTTAAAAATGACAATTTTCATCTTACACAAGTTAAAATACGGTATATATTTCTTAACTAGTATTCATTTAATCAGTATTATTTTTAAAGAAGGGCAGATTTTAATTCCAACAATACTTAATGGCAAAGGTAAAGATTTAATATTGGGGGATGGTTTTTTTCCCCCGGTTTTTGCTTGCCGGTGAGTTTGCATAACTCCATCTATGAAGAACATACCATACCCACACCACCACTTATACAAAAGTTAATTGCTTGGAAGTATACATTTTATTTTAAAAATGGAAATGTCATGTGTCTCATGATTAGGGATGGAAGAAAATGTTAGAAATAGAAACATTCAGAAACAAAATTCCCCAGTCAAGAAATTCTCCAGCATTTGCAAACTCAACAAATGCTATGGCTGCTTCTAGGCAAGTCCTGATGATATAAACCATATGAAGTGTACCTTCTTGTTGACATTCCACTGACTAGAAGAAACTCCTACTTCCATGGTGAGAATGAAATGTTCAGACATGCCCTGAAATTTCTTGCAGAGAACAAGAAACTTGGAAGTCATTTTTTCAAATATATTTCTCTGTTCACAGTATGGAAGTTTGTAAAAGTTGAATGTTAAGTCTATAGTAAAGGGATCTAAGGAATGGGATAGGTGAGAGTGCAGGCAAGTCTGAAAGGCACAAGAAAGAATTGGTCATGAAGTTTCCCAAAGGACTGAAAAAGTCGACTCCATTCTGAACAGTCCTTCCAGGTTTTGACAATACAAATCTGATATTGTGATATATTCCTCGTGTTTGTGCTTCCCTCCTCAGATATAATCATAAAATTAGCTTGATATATTTAGGTGTCAATATATAATAGTTTCAATGCCTTTCCTGTTTTAATTATAATCTCCTTAGGAAAAGATCATAGGCATTTTGGTTAAGAGTGTAAGAAGAGCCCCACTAGATCAGGCCATAGGCTTGCCCAGTCCAGTATTCTGCACCAACAGGAGTATCTTGGGCTGGAGGCAATAACCTCCTTCCACTGTTGCTTCTTAGCAATCAATCTTTATGATGTACTGCCTATGGTTCAGGAGGTAATGATCAGGCATTAATATTAGCAAGCTACCGATAGCCTGATTCTCCATGAACCTGCTCAGTTGCCTTTGAGCACCATCCAGACTGGCTGCTATTGTGACAAGTGCTGGAAGCAAATTACATAGTTTACGGATGTGAAAAACTATGTCCTAGGTGTGAAAAACTACTTCTTTCTCTTAGTCCTAAATCTTCCTATATATAGTTTCAATGGATGGCCTTGAGTTCTAACAGTGACAGAGGGACAAAGAACTACTGTAATGTCCATGTCATGCATGATTTTATCTCTCTTTCACATCTCTCCTTTGTTCTAAGCTGAAGAGCTCCAATTGCTATAGTCTTTTCTTGGAATGGAGATACTCCACCCATCTCATTACTTTGCAGATTTTTTTGCAATATCTTTTCTAGCTTGTTATACTATTTTGTACAGATGCCATATGCATTGGCTGGGAAATAAGGGTAAAATGCTAAAGATGTTTTCCACATGAAAGAAAAAAATGTGAACCCTCTTAAATGAAGTTGATGTGTTTGTATTGCTAGCAGTTTATTTTGTTTGTGTGATGTAACTTTCAGTCCAGTTCAGTGCTGAGTTTTCTTTTACAACATTTTCAACATCAACTGGACTAGTGCCTAGATAACCTTTTACCACATTATATTGCATCTAAAAAATAATGACTGTTTTGCAGTGTTAGCATAAGACATATAACCTATTGCCTGAAAACTGAGGAACACATGGAGGAAGAAAAGTACTATAAAACTTGGTAAATAGTAACTCCTATCTGGTATGTAATGACTACCTCTCTCTTTACACACAATCTCAGTGTAAATGTATTCTGGGCATACATGCAAGCACAGAGATGACTTTGGAAGGCCCTTGATACATTGTTTTAAGGAGAGAAGCTTTGGAATATATAGAGAGGACAGGATGGTTGGAAAGGGTATAACAAAGGTCAGTTTTATCTCCTTCCCAACCTCTGCAAATCATTTGTCTTGCTCTCTATTCAGATCCTTTATTTATCCGGACTTGAGTTGCTCATTTTGCTTAGTAATTTGCCAGATTCAGAATAATTTTTAGGGAGAGTGACTAAATGCACATGAGAACTGGATCATTGATTCATTACAGCACAATACCTCTGTCTGTACCATATTGATGCGGCGTGAACGTAATGCTTTGACACAGTTGTAGATGTCTACAACACCTTCTCTTTCTGCCATGTCTAACATTATGTCAATTACAATATAGCATCCAGTTCTCCCAGCTCCAGCACTAGAATAAATCAGAAAACAACACACATATTTTTAAAAAAATTACAAGCATCCCAAATAAATCAGAAGTCTAATGAATAAATACAAAAAATTCCAAAGTATTTTACTTTGTGAAACTGGAATTGTTTTTAGCTAAAGCAAAAATGTAATTAGATATACACTTCCAGTGTTATTTCTGAACACACTGTAGTCAATTTGCAAAGCAGAAAAAAAAATCTAGTTTTAGAATTGGTTAAGTGACACATATTAATATTGCTTATATAGTTGTTTTCCTGTGCTGTTCTTGTTCATCTCAGTTAAACTGCCACAGACATTTCCAGCAGAAACCTTTTCTGTCCTTGAAGTTTTCAATAAGGATAACTTTTTTTTTCTTCCTAGTGTTTTTCCCACAGGTGCAAGGTCTGCTTTTTTGGATCAACTGAATGTTGGTCCATTGGTTGCGAGAGGAATTTACTGACTGGCTTGTAAGCCTGACGTTGTGAGCTGAGAGAGAGCGACTGGCCCAAAGTCACCCAGCCAGCTTTAACCACTAGATCAAACTGGCTCTCTTCAGTAAGGATAACTGTGCATAAAATATTCACTAACTTGATTCTGAGGATAGTAATTAAAAAGACTGATTTTTGTTTTGTTTTGCTTGTTGATTTATTTCATGCATTTCATTATACAAAAAAAAAAATCTATTTTTAAAAAATCTCTCTAAAGTTACAGCCTTCTGAAAGAGGTTGTATTTGATCACAGTTTTGTTTTCCAACAGCCATTCCCAGATAAAACTGTGGCATATGTTTAGCTGAATTCATAAACCATACAGTTGACATGTGTCATTTAGCTCATTGACTAAATTCCTGGATCCATGCAGGGATCTAAATCAAAGTATCCTGCTTCAACACATCCAGGGTAGGGAAGCAAATTATCCTTCTGGGAAGTTAGTTCCAAACTGTCCTAGAGTTAGGAACTTTTTTCAGTTACTATTATTCCATGTCTTCCTATCTAGAACAAAAGAACCTGAAAGGATATCACACAGAACAAGTATTAATGTTCTATGTGACATCCTTTCAGGTATTTGAAGGGTTCTGTCATAGTTTTTCTTCCTTGAGGCAAAACGTTCCCAGATACTTCCATCTCTCTTCACAGGACTGTTTCTAGTCCCTGTGAAAGTTGGTTTTCATTCAATTAAAAGTAAGTAACTTGATACCAGATCAGGCCATTACTGAAATAAGGAACAGATGGAAATGTTATCACCTGCCCAAAACAGATCTGCTTCTAGGCAAAAGAAATGTGAACACTGGTTGTTATAAACAGAACTTGCATTTGATATACAGCAGTTCCTGGAATTATTTCATAACAGCTTCATATTTTGCTACAGCCAATCTACTTCTCTCAGACTTTATGTTCTGGTAAATAAATTCCTGCAGGGTTTTGCCTTGTTAGTCAAGAGAATCCTGACAGTCCTCAGATTATCCTTATTGCTGCATTCTGAACCATTTCTGATTTGTCTGAATCCTCCTTCTCAGTCCAGGTGTGTATTTGATTTCTTTTTCCTGAGTAAGAGCTTTGCATAAGCTAATTTTCATTCTGTGGTTTTCAATCAATTTCTTTAAACTTTCAAGATAGTTTTGAGTTTAATTTCTGTCTTGTATGCTATTAGCTATCCCACCAAATTTTGATAAGTATCCCCTCCACCTCCATGTCATTACAGAAAATGTCAAAGTATACATGTCTAGAAAGGAAGTTTGTGGCATCTTATTTGATACTTACTGTGATGGAATGGAATTATG